ATAATTTAGCCAGCTTGCTAATGTTACTTTTCTTCTCCTCTAAGGAACACAGAACGTTCAGATGTTGGAGCTTCACATCACCTACTGAGGAAGGAGACCCACCAGTAAAGAGACGGTCTGGACCAGACCAAAGTGAGTAATGACACCTCAGCCACCCTCATCATTAAGAACACCTCACCGCCTGAATCACTCCGTCTGATGACAGCAGAGTGATTTATTTGATGTTTTACTTGTTTAGTCTGTTTAGAAATTATTGAATTACATTATTTTCTGTAATCGACCATCTGATCTGGATGTGTGCAGAATAACTTTCCCCAAATTCAGCAGCAGCTGGCCTACAAAAACAGCTGCAGCATGTAGTAAGTCTGTCTGCACTGCTCTCTAATGAGCTTCCTTTCATAAGGAATCATTTGTATAATTTTAGTGTCACTATTTTATTACATTTGTAGGAAAATATGAAGTCACTGCAGCAAAGTGAACTTGTAAACAAAGTAAACCAAAACAACACAAACGTGACTATAAACATGAAAGCTAAAGAAACAACTTTCCTAAAGCTGCTTGTAAACAAAATATGTCATTAAAGTTATTGTCTATCATTGCAGAATATGGCGATGACATCATGGAACTGGTCTTTGGAAAAGTTTTCCCTGAACCAACTCCGTTTCTAGATGAGGTAGAGAAGATCTGCATCTCACCAACCCTCTGGTCTCAGAGACAACGGAGGTCTCCCACTGTTGTCCAGGACCAGTTTGAAGCCCACATACTTCCCCTCCCTCATCATCAGGAAACATCAATCCGTATCCTGAGCACAACAGAAGACGGCAGGAGGACAGGAACTCTGAGACCTAGACACCACCAGCACCGAGACACAAAGCACCTGTGTGCACAACGCCTGTTTAACTACTAAAGCCAGTTTATTATATAGTTCTACTTATTTGCTGTGAGGTTAATACTTAGAAAATTTGTATATTAATGTAAACAATAAAAAAAATCACTGATTGTATGTTTTCTTTTAGATGTAATGGTCCAAACTCAGCCTTGTAGACATTTATTGCATCCTGTAGGTAAATACACAGAACAGGCTCAGATCCAGGATGACCCAGCATGCTCTTCTTCCATTCTGGCTGTTAGGGATTGTATCAATAACTCAATGCCTACTGATGTTTTCACCTAACGGTATTTATTTAGAATGCAGGTAAGATTTAACTATATTTGTTAGCAAAGCAGACTGATCTTGGGAATTTCACTGCAGCACTGATGTCCACCTCTCTGTACACATTAGAGAGAATTACCACTTTACAGCTAAACACATTTAATAAAGATATAGGCTACACATTGCAGACAATAAAAACAAAGTTCTAAGCATTAGAATTATAATGATCACATTAAAGAACATTTGGAGGAATGTTCTTTATTTTTGACTAGAATCTCAAATCTTTAAATTAAAATGTAACTGCTTTTTATCCATTTTCAGCCATTAAGACACCCAATATAAAATAAGACTACTTATAAAATTATTTATAATTATATGTATGTATATAGATAGAGATCTTAATAAAATATATTCTTTTAATGGTGTTTTAATGAGCTGTATCATTTTTTAAAACATTTTTATAGAAATAAATAAGCAAGCAGCATTCCTTGTGTGTGTGTGTGTGTGTGTGTGTGTGTGTGTGTGTGTGTGTGTGTGTGTGTGTGTGTGTGTGTGTGTGTGTGTGTGTGTGTGTGTGTGTGTGTGTGTGTGTGTGTGTGTGTGTGTGTGTGTGTGTGTGTGCGCGCGCACGCGTGCCTGCTCGCTTGTCCCTCCGTCGGCCGTGACGGGTGTGTGTGTGTGACTACAGACAAATGCATGAGACAGTTAGCAGCCTTGAAACAGCTTGATGAACTACTCTCCCCACATGTTTTAAAAATGCTAATATGCTATGCTAAATCTGCTATGCTAAATAATGATTTCTCTATAGAACTACAAAGTCCGGCTGGGGGAGGAGAGTACAGGTCTGCACTATGGAGGGGGGGCGGAGTTTACAGCTCCTCCTCCAGTTTAAAGAGACAGTACCCCAAAACGGCTCGTTCTTTAGACTCTCCTCAGAACAGGGGTAGATGAGGGTCTGTAGAGCAACAATAATGAGGAAATCAGACCAAAGAACTGCAGTTCCACTGTATTTAGACCCCAACTGAAGGATTTAGATGTAAAAAGGAATAACTTAAAAGCATGTTATGTCTCCTTTAAAATTCACGGATATCATATGTGAATTCCATTAGAGGTGTGAATCTTCACTTGTCTCCCGATTCGATTCGATTACGATTATTGGGTCAACGATTCAATTCGATTCGATATCCCGATGCATCACGATGCATCACGATTATTTCATATTGATTTGTTTTCATCGATGACTAGAAGATGTCAGTTAATTGCTTTTTTTTTTATCTAAAACGTAATTGACACAACCTGCCATCCCTCAAAAGCTCTCCATTAACAGGTTAGGACAAAACATTTAAACATTTAAGAAGATTTAACAAAGTAAAACATCTGTTTACTCGTTCAACACCACGCCTCAGGCTGAGAAAACATGCTTTACAAAATCTCACAAAATCTAAAAAAGTACTGAAAACCTACAGGACACATAATGTAATAATCAAATACATAATGGGTTCATATACGAGTGTTTAATGTCTCTGAGCAGCTCTAGAGTCAAATATTTATGCCACAGTTGAAGGGTGTCAGAAAAAAACACCAAATGAAATGTTTGACTTAGTTTTTTTTATTTCATTTGAACCCAGTGGTTCATTTCTGAAATGTTGGAGAATGAATCAAGTTCTGTTTGATGCAGAAAATAATAAAACATAAAACAAATTCTACACTTCCAATCATATTTAAGATGTGTGTTTTATTCTTTCTGATAATAACACCAGCAGAAGGCTGTGGGCTGGATTAGGATTAAATTACCCAGCTGATGGATCTCCTTCACTAACCAGCTAACTACAAACCTTTCCACTAACCTGTCCTGTGTCACCCTCACCCTTTAACCCTCATGTCCATGCTGTCTCTGGAGGAGTAGATAGGAGACAAGTCTCCTGTAACCTAAAATGAACCAACGCTTCCTCCCAGTTTCTCTTTAAGCTGAATTTAACATCAGTTTATCATCATGAAACAAAATAATAAAGTGGAACAAGAACTTCTATCTTCTATTTCTCTCTCCTTTTCACTTCTCCGAGTCCCTAAATAAGAGACAGACGATCACGCTGCAGCCGCCGTCATTGACCCCGCCCCCTCCCGAGACCGGATCTCCCAGCATTACAACACTTGGTCTGACTGAGCGCTTCCAGGAGAAAAAATTATTAAATTATGAAAATAATAATGCATGTTTGGAGCATCGGTTTGGAGGGGCGTCCTCCGATCCTCTCGTGTGAGCGGACAGTCTCTCTCTCTCTCTCAGTTGCTGATAGAGCGAGCGGAGTGCGCCGTGTGACCACCCGCTCAATTAACATAATTCACGGCCCAAATCCAACAGAACCGGTTGGGCTGATTCGGTTCCGGTTCGGTCTCAGGTTACAACTCAAGCGCTCAGTCCTGCAGTACCACAAGGTGGAAACACTTGGTAAATGTGGAGGACACTCACTCTGACAGATTTGGATCTGCGCTGGTGCCGCCATTAAAAAAACAAAACTACATTCCACTATAATCGATTATGGCGTACTCTTCTACGATGCAGAATCGTTTATGTCCGCATCCCGATGCATCGATTATTTGATTATTTTCCTCAGCCCTAAATTCCATGGCACAAAACAAGCGGAATTAGAAAATAGCATTTTTAGCCCTGTTGACTTGCATTCATTTTTTCATTCTTCTGGTAAACCATGGCCCGGATGTAGATGGGCGTGACTTAGGCTCCCTATCACCCCAAAATTCCACTACCTCCGCTCCGCCTTCCGCAGCCGCTCGTTTCCGAACTCAATTTTTACTGGTACCCGCTATACAACGGCTCCGCTCCGGTGCGGAGACCTGAGGTGCGCAAACAGGCATGCGCGGGATTTTCGAGATCTTGCGATACAGTCCGAGCAATAAACGCGGAAGTTAGATCCAAACACCCGTTGTGTGGGAGAAGCATCGGCATGAACTGTTTAATCTGCCCATCATTTTTGTTAAGAGATCAGCAGTGTTTGGATCAACAAAGTGTGACTACTTTGATAGTGGAAACTGTATTTATGGCTTACTTTTGTGCATTTAAACTTCAGCCGCCATTGATAGTTGTTAAAAGTTGTTAAACCTGTGCATATGAAACAAAAAATGCTTTTTGTTTATCGCTTTATTGTGAAATAACGGAAGTTGTGCTTGCTCCCTTTCCTGTTGGGCGGTTGTGATTTCTGTCTGACTGCGGAGGTGCTCCGGCGTCCGGCAAAAATAGAATCGATCCTATTTTTGCCGGATGGCGGAACGGTGGGTGGCGCACTGCGCCGCACGGCCGCAGTAGTGGCACAGCTCTGATTGACTACAATGGGACCGATTTTGTTGCGGAGTTCGTGCCGGAGCGGAGGTAGTGGAATTTTGGGGTTAGGGTCAAAAAGCCCTGGGGAGTGCTAACTTCAGCAAAATGACAAGCACATCACTAGCAACAAGTGAAGAGGTAAATGTGTAAAACAACATTTAAGAAAGATTAAAGTTTTTTAACTCTTTGTTACAAAACAGTAAAAGCATTTTGTCCTCATGGTCTCCCGTAGAAAGAAACATGGAATCTAATATGGCATCGCCCAGAGACTTAGACCCGCTCCCATGTATTTTAGACCTGATTCTTATGGTTATATGTCACAAAGCTGCCATTATTTTTCAACAACTGGGCATCACTGAAATAATTTAACAACATTTTGATGGATATTTCCAGAAATGAATGGTAAAAACTACACACTGTCTCTTTAAGTGAGTAACATCCTTCCCAGCAGTTTCCAAGTATTACATCAACTCAAAAGAAGTAATCTACAGATGGATCAAAACACCTACTCACCACCCAGCTTGGGTTTGCACATCCAGCGTCCCGCTGGAATTTCTCATTTATTTGATGAAACTCAGAAATACATAACTGAGGGACGACAAAGACACCAGGACCACTGTGATACTACACTGTTAGGAGCTGGCACAACTACAACGCTAGCCAAGGCAATAAAGACAAAAGCAGGGGGCGGGGGTATCAAACATTACATACATTCTTCTAATAAATACCGAGGAAGAAATACAGCACATTCCAGCTTGTGGTAGCTACATTGATTGGCTAAAGAAGGCTAATACTAGTTTTTGCTGTTATCATGCAATTTGATAGCAACATCGTTAGCCGTCGGCTGGCTAGTACTGGATGACAATGCGGGATAGGAAGCCGCCAGCGCCACCATACTAAATATCCTCCAATCTGTACAAAAAATGAGTTATAAAGAGGAGTTACACGACGAAAAGATAAAAACTGATCAAATTGGTTTCCGTTGACCAGGTACCTTTCAGCTCGCGGTGGCCTCTCGTCTCTGGCCAGACAGACATCTATTACGGAAGAAGTCTACTGTCTATGCTGTAACCTGGGAAATTCCACCTCGCAACGTGTCATTTAAAACAGCGACAATTGACAGCCGTCTGAACCAATCAGAGTAAAGAACGACGTGAGGGCGTGGTTATCAGAGCAGCTGTCCGTAATGTAAACACAAATATTTCTGTGGTTTTATTTATTTTTAACATACGTGTCACTTCCACTATTCATTCAATTACATCCAGCTGTAATGTTCTGTTAAAAATTGTTTAAATAAATAAAAATAGTTATCAAAATCTTTTAATTAAAAAATATATCTTTTGAATACTGTTTTTACTGTTTCATGGTAAAATCCAGCAAAAATAAATGTCTATTAATATTAAACTACTACTCATAACAAAAAATCACACAATTGTTATTCTGAGGGTCTGATTATCTGAGGAGGTTTCTGATATTGCGTTACATTTCCTCTGAACTGAGAGGTCTGCATGAGCTACATCCAGAAAAAAATAAGATTTCACAACAGGTCCACATAATTCAGATAAAAAAAAAAACAAATCTCTGAAATGGCATGATTGAAGTTCCAGAAATATTATTTATCTTTATTAGTATCTGATTTTGTAATTAAAGGATATATACTTGTTCTTATGGCTTATGTAATTTACAAAAAAACAATGAATGTTGTGAAAAATATCTGGTTGTTGTAAAAAAAACTAACTAGACAAAACTGCCCCCAGATCGCATTCAGTCATTTTTATTCTTTATTATATTATTGCACATTTATTGAAAATTTGATCACAAATTTAGAAATAGACTTAAATCTTTGATTATTGTATCATAAAACAATGAAGTTGTCTGTGAAGCAGACACCTTGTCTACATTTAAGACTAAGCTTAAAACATTTTTATTTGATAGGGCCTATGGTTAAATTCTAATGTTAGCCTAAATCTGGACAAGTGGGGGAGTAGAGGGAGGTGGAGTGTACAGTCGGTAAAGACGGCTCTCCCTTGCCCTGCCTCCAACATGCCTACATCTAAAAGGCTAGGTTATCCAGAGTTATCTCTGTAGTTATGCTGCTATAGGCTTAGACTGCTGGAGGACACACTGACCACTTTCCACACTCTACAAGTTTTTTCTACAATTTGCTCTTCAACTACATTATTTTCTGCTATTTCAGCTGTTAACTTCTCTCTCTCTAAGTGTTTTTCTCCCCAAAAGAAGCTACAATGATGTGCTGCTGAGCTTTGACATTGAATGTGCTACTACTAGTTTACCTGTGTGTGTGTGTGTGTGTGTGTGTGTGTGTGTGTGTGTGTGTGTGTGTGTGTGTGTGTGTGTGTGTGTGTGTGTGTGTGTCTGCTCTGTCGATCCCCAGTGTAAGTAAGTAAGTAAAAGTTTATTTATATAGCGCCTTTCACAGATATAAATCACAAAGCGCTGTACAACATGATAAAGATCAGGGCAAATACCTCTACCCAATAAAAACATCAGAAAAACAATAGCAGTGATAAACGTAGAAAATAAAATCATGAGTATAAACAAAGTGAAGGTGTGAACCCGAACAAAGCCATCTTTTTGAAACATTTAGGGAAGGAATGCCTGGATGAAAAGGTGAGTTTTTAGATGATTTTTAAAGACCTCTACAGTGTTAGAGAGACGGAGATTTGAAGGTAGACTGTTCCAAAGTCTGGGTGCAATAGTCTGAAAGGCCCTGTCCCCTTTGGTTTTCAGTCTGGTTCGAGGAACAGCCAGGAGGTTTTCAGATGTGGATCTAAGGTTCCGAGAGGTGGTGTGTGGGGATAAAAGCTCAGATAGGTAGCTTGGAGCCTGGTTGTTAAGAGCTCTATAGGTCAGGACTAAAACTTTAAACTGTATTCTATGTTCTACCGGGAGCCAGTGGAGGGACTGTAAAACTGGAGTGATGTGAGCTCGTCTGCTGGATTTGGTTAGGAGTCTGGCTGCTGCATTTTGGATTGCTTGAAGGCGTGAGAGGGAGGTTTTGCTGAGACCAGTAAAAAGAGCGTTACAGTAGTCTAAGCGTGATGACACAAAGGCATGGATGATTTTTTCCAGATCTGCAGTAGAAACCAGTTTACGGACTTTTGAAATGTTTCTCAGTTGAACGAAACAAGAGCGGGAGATGGTTTTGACGTGTGTTGACGCAGCCATTTGAAGACAGGGAAGACAGGAGAACCGACGGACAGCTAATCTTGACAGAGGAATAAACAAACACCATGCAGGCACCATTCAGTGGGGACTGGTCACAGCCGTAGCAGCACCACGCCCTTTTATTTACGCATGCACAAATTAATCACAGCTGTAAGAGCACAACCAATCAACATATTTTAACACCCCCACTTGCTCTTATACAGTGAACTCCTTCTCCACTATGACAATTGGCATTTACATTCCAAACAAATATTTGCCAAATCTATCCATCTTGGCCTTTGTTACAGGCTTTGTTAAAATATCTGCAACCATGTCTGTTGTTGGACAATACTCAATCGTTATCTTTCCATCATTCAGCATAGATCTGATAAAGTGGTACTTTATGTCTATGTGTTTACTTCTCTGTCGACAGACTGGATTCTTAGACAAAGCGATAGCGATAGCACCTCCAAAGATTTTTACAGGCACATAACACTCATCAGTCAACCCTTTTAGCAGTTGTAAAAGATATAAACTCTCCTGTACTGTGGCAGCTAGAGCTATATATTCTGCTTCACATGTTGATAATGCAACACTTTGCTGTTTCTTGGTCCTCCATGAGATAGAGCCACTTTTATTTAAGCTAAAACAATAACCTGTAGTGCTGCATCTGTCGGTGCGATCTGAAGCCCAATCTGCATCACTATAAGCTTCAAGTTCAAGCTTTCCTTCACTTTTTGTATAACACAGCTCTTGATTTATCGTCCCTTTTAGGTATCTTAACACATGCTTTGCAGCTGTTAAGTGTTGCTCTTTTGGTTTAGACAGATACTGGGAAAGTTTACTAACAATCCAACAAATGTCAGGCCTTGTACAAGTCATTACGAAGATCAAACTGCCGACCATTTCACGATACCTTCTTGCATCAACGGAGTCACCTTCATCATCAAAATGCATCTTTTGTTCACATGGAGTAGATCTAGCTTTACAGTCAGACATACCAAATCTTTCCAATAATTTTGTTATGAATCTCGTTTGGTTCATCTTTATCTCTCCTTTCTGTGTAAAATCAACACCCAAGAACGTTTTTAAATTACCAAGATCTTTCATCTTAAACATTTTTGTTAACATGTCTTTCACTTCTTCAAGTGACTTTGTATCCTTTGATGCAATAAGGAGATCATCAACCCAGATTAATAGATGAATTTGTCCATATTTTGTTTGTTTACTGTAGACACAATGATCTGCTTCATTCTGTATAAAACCGTTTTTACAAAGACAATCATTTTGTTCCAGTTCCGCCCAGACTGCTTTAGACCATATAAGGACTTTTTCAACCGACACACAAGCTTTTTACCCGTGTCAGACTTGATTTCAAAGCCTTCAGGTTGCTCAATGTACATTTCACAGTCAATGGGAGCGTTCAGATACGCTGTTTTTACATCCATCTGATGCAACTGTAAGTCATTCTGTGCAGCAAGCTGCATTAATGTGCGTACAGAAGTCATATTAGCTGTTGGAGAAAATGCTTCTTTGTAATCTATTCCTGCTTTTTGACTATATCCTTTTGCTACATATCTGGCCTTATATGTCTCTGTTGAATCAGCATTTTCTTTGATAGCATAAACCCATCTGCCCCCCACTATGGATTTACCTTCTGGTAGTGTAGTTAAAGTGAAGGTGTTGTTTTCTTCTAAGGACTTCACTTCTTCTTGCATTGCACGTACCCACATTTCAGACTTTGATGAGGTTATAGCCTCCTTGTATGTGTTTG